TTTGGTGACGACGTGGCTATTGATGTGACTATGGAATCTATTGTACAATTTATCGTTTAATGATTATCTGGTTTTGAAAGTCTCATTTATAAAAATTAACCTTCTTCACATATATTAATATCAAATTTAGTTTAACGATTATATATAGATCGATCATATATGAATATGTATGTTTCATATATATATTATAGATGATTAATTTTTTCTATTTATTTAAAGTTGTTTTTTATTTGTTAAAGTTAATAATTAAATTTATAGTTATCTTCAGTACATTTCCATTTTTTTTTTTTTTTTGAATTCCTTAACATCTATATCTATATTTAATAATTTTGATGACATTAATGCTTGCTTTGGTATAAACATTTATTTATATCAGTTGATCCGGTCTGCTGTAGTTATTCCGAAAAAGAGTGTATATTACGTTAATGGCTTATATTAATATCTTAAATTATTAAAAATCCTATTGTTTATTTCTTTGATGACTGCTTTGGTTTAGATCTTTTTTTTTTGGAAGTTTATCACGTTTTTTCACATTTTTCTGAAAAAGAGTGTACATTAAGCAATTAAATACTGAATTATTATTAGATACTGAAATATATAAAAAAAATATCTCTTCTAAATTTACATAATTATGCAGACCAAAGCTTTGCACGTAGTAAGTTCTTAATAAATATTTAATAAAAATAAAAATTTATTATTGGCAATGAACTTTAAGATTATCATTATTAGAGGATTTAAAGCCTTATTCTTTGTAAGACATTAATTAATACTTATAGATTAAAAATAAAAAAACTGGCTATTATTAAGGCATTTTAAAAAACTATAAATAGAAGATTTAAAGTTATATTCTTAGTAAAATACTTATTGATACTTAAGAATGAAAAAGGAAATAGCTCGTTATTGTTAATGTATTTTAAGAAAGCACTAATAGTGGATTTAAAGCTTTATCCTAAGTAAGAGACTAATTGATATTTTGGGATAAAAAAAAAGAAATAGCTCCTTATTGTTAAGGATTTTTGGAAATCATCAATAGAAGATGTTTCAACAATATGAGCTCAGAGCCATGCATTCTTTGGACAGAATAAATTTAATTTTAGATTATATTAATTTCAAAAATAATATATTTGACAGGGGTTTGTATGTAAGCAACGCGCTTTTGCCTCAATGATGATTAAATTTTTTATATACTTTAGTTCTACAGATCAAAGTTGACTTAAAGCAGTTTAGAAAAATCTTCAAAATTGATAGCAAATTATATTCCTTTAAGGGTTTACTATTCATTTATTTAATTTTTAAAATAAAATAATAATTGTTTTAATTAACTAAAAAATTTAAATATTAGATTAAATAATTAATATACTCAATAAAATACGTGCGGCGGTTTACAACAAATTATAAGTTTTTCATACTTACTTTATTCTTAGGCTCTTGCCCGTAACTTAGTAATATGTCACGGATAACAGCTGGTCCAATGTTTAATTTTATATCCTCAATTGAGTAAACCTCTTTTATTTTTAAAAAATCTCCAGTAGCATTTATAAATTTGAACTGAGACATGTTTTTTAATAAAACAAACTGCAAATATATATATTAAAAATATGTTAATTGCTTCTAGTACATGATTAAAAAAAGTTGAATACAACAACAAATCAAGAAATTATTTAATGTTTCACTAAAAATACTTTTCTAAGAAGTCATATTAGTTCTTTGAATAGATTATCACCTCAATAAATAAATTTTGTTGTTCATAACCTTTAAATTAATATATTTAAATTAATATATTTAAGCATAAAAATATTTTATTTGCATTTATATATCTATTATATATATGTATATTAATATTTATTTGTAAATCATTATATGTATATTAATTTGTATATATTTGTACATAATCACAGATATGTATAAAATCATATATAGGTATATAATCATATATATGTATATAATCATATATATATATTTATACATTTATATAAATATATGTATATATTTATACATTTTTATTTATTTTTATATATACATTTTTATACATTTAGTTATATACATGGTTAAATGCCTACCTATATACATGGTTACATACCTGTATTAAGACGAATTGTTGAAATTTATGGGCTCGTTTTATTGAAAAAAATATGTTTTTTGAAATACCACGTTGATATACTAAATTTTTTTTCTCCTCTGCATAACACGTGTATACCCTAACATAACCTAGCAGAGTACATTGTTTTTCTAAAATTTTTTTTCGTAATTATCTTTAGTTATTACAATTACGATCAAGACACAACCCCTTGTAAAATAAATCGCATTCAATTAAAATGTAATGTTTTTTATATAAATAAAACTTTTTTAAAATAATTTTCTTCAAACACTTGGTTAAAAATGCCTCGTCAATTAAAAGTCTGTATCTTCTGTCGAATTTACATCTAAGATTCTGTTTTAATTTAAAATTCAAAAATTATTATGTTATATTTGCACAACCCAAACACAAATTCATATATTTTTTCTATATTATTAATTGATAATGATAATAATAATTTTAAATCGCAAAATTAGAACTGATAGTAAACAGTGTTCAAA